TATGATAAGGATAATAAGATTAAGAATAGAATTAACAATTATGATCCTAATAATAATGATACTAATGTTAGTGACAATAGAGGTATTGATAATGAGTTTGATGATAGTTATAACAATGATAATGATGATACTATTATTACTAATAATAATGACAGTGATAACAACATAGCTAATGACAACGGATATGATAACAGAATCAATAATGATAACGATTATTACGTTGTAATAATGATGATGGTGACAATAATCATATCATTATCATTACAATTATTAGTATGATGAGAATGATGGCGGTATTGTAATGAAGAGGATTGCTGTTAATATTATTAATGCTGGTATCATCCTCTCCATCTTCATAATTATTGCTGATATAAATATTCGACATAATTTCAAGATCATCTTACTGGTTTCTAAATCAAGTCGAATAAGATAACTAAACCTTTTAGTAAAAAAAAGTATGAGTAAAATATGCACAAAGCGACTGTGTACTCGGCTTCATAAATCAATATGTAAGTGCGTATCGTATTCGTGTATGCATACTTAGGTGTGAATCTGCATGAACACTCGCTTACGTGTGTGTTAGTAATGTCTAATTGCGGCAAGGAATTTCCTGACAAGATGGCCAGAGGAAGTAACCTCATTTGAGGTTTCAGCACAATGTCATCAGTCGCCATATTTATAGCATTAGAGATTAACTCTTGAGTGAAATGGAATGTGAAGGCCTCACAACTTAGAATGAAAGGAGTTTATTAATGTACGTGTATATGCAGTCCATGTGAACACACACATATGTATATATATATATATATATATATATATATATATATATATATATAAATATGTATATACCTACTCATATATATCAATTTATATACGCATATATATGTTTCTATAAATGAATGCATGCAGCTATATATATATATATATATATATATATATATATATATATATATATATACATATATATATGTTTGTGCGTGTGTGGATGTATATGTATATATATACATACACACGTATATATGTTTATATACGTAAATATATATACACATACATACATACATACATATATATATATATTTATAAAAAACAGTTTCGAAATCCTCCAGGATTCCATCTTCAAGTTTGAAGGGGAGAGGGAGAAAATGGAATACAGGATTTTTAAAAAATAAATCTAGTTTGTGCATTGTGGGTTTTTGTACCACACACACACACACGCATACATATACGTGTGTGTATGTGTGCATACATATATATGAATGAAGTAACTTATATGTACATATATATACGTATATATATATATATATATATATATATATATATATATATATATATATATATATATATATATATATATATATCTAGATCCATAAACATTACCTGTGTACTCATACATTAGTTATGGTAGCGAGGTGAGGTGTGAATATTTACGAAAGATGAAATGCTGCAATGCCGTGTTGATATAGATTCATAACCTCCCCTGACCAAGATTCGAACCCTTGCCGACCTGCTAAACTAGTTTTGTTATATATCTACATCAATGTAGCATTGCATTATTCTATAGTGTGTGTGTGTATGTATATATATATATATATATATATATATATATATATATATATATATATATATATATAGAGAGAGAGAGAGAGAGAGAGAGAGAGAGAGAGAGAGAGAGAGAGACATATGTGTATGTAGATACACATATATGCGTTTCCATACATTAAAATATATATATATATATATATATATATATATATATATATATATATATATATATATATATATATATATATATGAATATATAGAAATGCATATATAGATAGAGAGATAGATGGATGGATTGATAGATATATATACATAGATACATATACTTTGTATATGATTATATATATATATATATATATATATATATATATATATATATATATATATATATATATATATATATATACATTGTATATGATTACACACACACACACATATATATATATATGTGTGTGTGCATGTATGTGTAATATATAATATATATATATATATAATCTTATACAAAGTATATATATATCTATGTATATATATCTATCAATCCGTCTATCTATCTAACTATCTATATATGCATTTCCATATATTCATATATATATATATATATATATATATATATATATATATATATATATATATATATATATATATATATATATATATGTATAAATATATTATATATATAATATATATATACATTGCATATGATAATATACATACATAATATACATATATATAGATATAGATAGATGGATTGATAGATATAGATATATAGATATATATACTTTGTATAAGATTATATATATATATATATATATATATATATATATATATATATATATATATATATATATATATATATATATATATACATTTATATGTATATATATTACATATAAACATATGCATTATATATATATATATATATATATATATATATATATATATATATATATATATATAT